TAAAACTTTATTAATTGAGTGTAAATCCAAACTCACAACCGTTGGCATTGTACACATCTTCATGACCAGCAAGGTTTTAATTCTAATATTGCGTAGTGGGGGAGTGAGGGGAGGGGGCTTGAGTAATCGGGCAGGATTATGCGCAGACGGAGATCGGTGCTCCAAGGGAGGGTTTCATGCCACGGCACTGTTCGCCGTTGGGGTAACATGCAGCTTTGCCAAACCCGCCTCCAAGCGCACGAAAAAGCGGTAGCCTTTCTGAACGCTCTATACTATAGGTCCTCACGTCACTACACCGAGCCAGGGCCCCGCGCGACATCGTGGCCGGTGTTGGTACCTGCGCCATGACCCCTGCATGGCGCGCAGGCACAGCCTGTACCGGAAATCCTGCACGATGCGGCCCGTCTGCGCCCAGCTACCTGCCGCACACAAGAACAACGACTGTGCACTGAGTCGCGCGCTCCGGGGCACGATATGCTTTGCTTTTGGGAGCACGGCCAATTATTTTTCAGCCATGCCACATCAGACGCAGCGCTGCGGCTTGTTAGTTGCGTAGACTGCAGCATAGATTCACAAACAACTTCGTGATCCAACGGTCGGACTCTTCTTTGTTGCTGTTACTGGTACTATTCAAAATAGGTGTTGTAGTTGCAGATTCGTTCCGAAAACATGCCCGTTCCCAAAGTGGATCCGGGAGTGCTGCACTTGGAGCATGAATTGCGCAGAGAGCTTTCCGCGACAAGTCCGCATGTAATTTCATGGCAAGTCAGCAGTGAAGGCAGGCAGAGAGACAGAGAGTGAAGGGGGAAGTAGAAGACAGCCGAGTTCTGCGGCAGAACCGGAGTTGGGAGAGAAAGATGGGCTGAGACGCATATGTCTCACAGCCCAAGATGCTGGAATATGTTTCCAAGAGTACTCTCGCAAGAGACGCAGTTGTGCTAAGGAAGCATTGGAGATGCGCTTGTCACCAATCTTGGCACGCTTGAATGCCTTGGAAGCGCACCTTGTACAGAGCACGGAAGAGGATGGACTATTGGCCAGCAGCCGAGGGACTGGGAGAAACACAGTCCCCACTCACAGCCATTTCGATGAAGCTGCGCGTCCGCAGGCTAGGCCACACCCTCTGGGTTCTGCAGCCTGAGCAAAGTATGATGTGGTTTACGGTGCGCGTTTGCGGAGTGTAGGGTCTGGGATTTGAGGGGCGACAATGCATGGTTTGATCACGCCAAGCTGCTTGCAGGCAGAAGCACTGGACATGGAATCGATTCTGCTACCACCTGTGCAAGAATCGTCGCCATCTCAGGTTGGTGGTCACGATGTTCGCATGACGGGTGTTCTAGGTTGCCATTGCCTCCGTAGACCGATTTCACTTGCATGGAGGACCCATGTGAACGCGTACATGTTGGGGAAACCGTGTGGAACTTTGTTCTTGTGATCGGCCTGTTGGACTGTGGCACCATGGACACGTTGATTGCTTTTGCCCTCATGGTTGGCAATGCAATGATGCAGGCCTTGTTCTGCATCGCCATCATGTCACCAGAATTTCGGGGCACTGCCTTTGCCTCGCAGCTCGCTGTTGCGAAGAAGTGGCGCTTGGGCGTGGGCCACGATTCGACCTACATGGACAGCACGCCTACCAGCCTCGTTGCTCGGGTATGTGGCAGTGATGAAACACTCATTGTTGCAAACTCACAGGCGACTTTGGTGCGTGACATCACCGCCTATTTGGGCTTTGACAATGCAGACGGGAGCTCCTGGTTTTCACCTGGGGCTCTCCTGAGCACGTTGTGCATTCTACACTGGTGTCTTTACATCTTTGAGGAGATTCGGAGCATTTGCTCGACGATGCACGCAATCTCCAATGTGCCACGGGATCAGAAAAGCGAGATGCGAGGAGGTCGCTTGATACACATCTCGTACTTCCGCTTTCTGTCATACTTCCTGCTGACGGTGATCCGGTCGTGCATCGCTGCCGTGCTGCTCTATGCAGGCGACACCCCATCGCACAGATTTGTAGCAGCATGTACGCTCCAATTCCCCCGTACCCCGTCAGCCGTTTTGTGTTTCCATGTCCGATTGCGGGCTGGCTTCTGCAGGCGTTCTGTGGTTGGCAGGGACAACCTCGATTGCTTCGTTGATGGTGAACAGTGTAGCACTGGCGGCAATAATGGACATCGACGAAAAGATTTTCGCGGCACTCATGCCCCGGCAGATTCAAGTGGAAATGGATGGTTTGCAACCTTTCACTGCGACTTACAGTCGCAGATCCAGCCAAGTGGAATCAATGCTGTTGAGCGCGGTGACCGCAGGCGGCAGCATGTTGACGTGTTCGTGGGGTTTTGGTTTGTGGGTGGCATAACAGGGTTTCGGTGAAGATTTTGAATGGCCTTGGAAGCATCCGGCACAACTTGAACCGAACCCGGAAAGCAGGTCTGCTGGCATGGTCATTCGTGTTCCTTATCCACCCGCTGAGTCAAGATATGCGAGACGTGAAGGATGAGTATTGCGGTGGTAACCAAGACTTCGTTCTCAAAAGCAACGCAGATGTTCAACTTTCAGTTGCCATTGGAACAGTTCCCTATGGGGAAGGAGGGGGAGATTTGACGCTGAACAATTTGGCGGTGCATGAAATGCTGCACGAGGTCCATGAGAACGGCTACCTGAGATACACAGTCCTTGCTCAAACTCTCCGCGATTTCGACAGGTGGTCTAGAGGGACAATCAGTGATTGGGGCATTGCTATACTTCATGGCTGCACCCAGTGGGAGGGCAGCAGCTTCCTCGTGGCTGTGGCAGTTTCTCTCGGCTACGAGCCGAAATCAGGCTCGGCTTGCGAAGACTAGACATGTTGTTTGTGTTGTGTCTTGCATTCTTCAACCTAGCTTTGCCTCACATCGCAGGCTATGCGTGCAATGACTTTGCGAGCGATTGCCTCCGCCCAGAAGCGCGGCTGCTGCGGATGCTGTGCCCGAAAACTTGCGGCTGCAATGATCCCAGCCTTCCCTGGTTCCGGGTGTCCACGTTAGGCAGGCTCCCGTGCATAAGTCGGTTTAACTTGGGCAATGCACCACTCACTGCATAATGCTCATGATGCACTCATCTCTGTGTGCCGGAGGCTGTCCGCAACCTTGCCTGGATGACGCGAAGAAAGCATCTGCCAAGGTGCCGTGCAAAGACACGACTGTTGATTCGGCATGGCATGAAGCCTGGTCGTCATGGCCACAGATATGGCTGACGCAATTCAATGGCAATCCGAAAACTCGTGCCGGCCAAGATCGCTTAGCCGTACTGAACAACATTTCACGGCGAGCCCGTGAGAATGGATGCAGTGCCGTCGCAAACCTGGGCTTGCCCAAAGGAATACCGTTCAATGGGGACTCTGTTTGCCAGGGCTGGAACATGCTCATCTCTTCCGTGGCAAATCTCTGCCCTGAGACGTGTGAATGCACGAAGCCCGAGTATGCTGCGGACCCACAGCGTGGCTGCCCACGCAGCTGCGAAAGCCTTGCCCGGAGAAATCGACATTCATGTCTGTGGCCAATCTTGCTGTCCAGTCATGCCTTGTTGGAGGACAGAAGCTCGCATCCCGAAGCAGGTAGGTGAGTAAATCGCCGGGTCTGAGATTGATTTGATCTCGTTACGTGCAGCAGAACAATTTGCAATGAAAGGTGCCGGTCTTAGGTGAAAGGAAGCAAGAATTCTACCTGTATAAGGTGTTCACAATCCCATCGGTAGCAGTGGGGGGGACTCCGACGGAGACAGAATGAGCACTTGCTTGTGGCCCACCTATGTCTTCTCTCGTATCTCCTTCGATTTCTTGTGTCCCCCTTGTGTTTGGCATCTTCTGTAGCTCTGCAGTGGGCAGGACATGTCGAGCCACAGACAGCTTGGGGTCCAGACTTGCTCTCTCCTCTCTCAGTTGAATGCATCTGCAGCAGGTGCTGCCAAAATTTGTGCTCACAGGCGAGTGCTGGCAAGCTTCCATTATCAAGTGTACATGCGTGCACGAAGAGTGTAGCCTTCCCGAATGAGGATTATGTCCTTCTGTTTCGGACCACCATTTGAGGTGACATCTTCCGACGCCGGCTAGGCAAGTGAAGCCATGGCAATCACGGCTGCCAAGCGAAGGCAACTGAGTGAGGAGCTTATTGAACGAGCTGCAGCCGGTCGGCACCAAGATGTTGCAAAGCTCCTCGAGGAAGGGGCAGATACCGAGTTCGCAGACCGGAATGGTTACACGGCGGTCTCTGAGGCTGCCATGTCTGGCCAGACGGTGGTGCTAGGCCAGCTGCTGCGAGCCGGGGCGGACCCGAACAAGCCGGCAAAGGACGGCCGAACGCCGCTCCATCGAGCCGCCTTCCACGGCTGGATGCCGGCTTTGAAGCTTTTGCTGGAGAACGGCGCGGATCCCTCTTTGGCAGACAGTGATGGGAAGACACCAGCTGAGGTGTCGAAGAAAGTGGCAGTGCAAGACTTGTTTGCTAGCTTCAGCGACGAGCAAATTCAGGAAGCGATTCGGTCTCAGAAAGAGAAGATGGCCCAACGTCCACGCTATGATGATGATATCTCGTTGAGCAAGCCAGCACCGGCACCTGAGGCTGCCGAAGTCCCGAAGAAGACACGCACACCAAAGACGATTTACTACAAGGACAGGGCAGCGAACAACCAGGCCGACACAGGCGGCACTGACCAGGGTGGCACAGAAGATCAGAAGCAGTTTCTCGAACTCCATCCTACCTTAGACATCATTGCCCAGCCTGATGGGTATGCATCTCGTCCCGGAAAGGCCGGAGGCTACAAGGATGACGTTCGGCTGCAAGGCGGAAGCCTAATTGTCGAAACCTCTGAGGGGCTCTTCGCAAGCGAGGAGGTCGGGCAGAAGGTCTCTGAGAGCCCAGAGCAGAAGGCCGCGCTTTGGTTGCAGAACGTGGACGTCGACGTGCCGTTGGACATGCAGGCCATCCAAGCCGCAAAGGTGAAAGCTCAGGAGCATTTCAACCAAGGCAGCGTCAGCGATGCTCGACGAGTCACTACGGCGGCGATCCGTGCCGGTGAGCTCCTCCTCGCGAGGGACAGCGCGCTCGAGGAGAAGGCCAACGAAGACTTGCAATCCTTGCTGGGCATCCTGCATTCCAACCGCAGCCTCTTGCTGACACACCAGATTCAGGCAGGAGACGAGGAGGTCTTGCAGTTCGGTCCCGATGCTGCTTGGAGCTTGGTGGTCATGGACACGAATGCGGCATTGATGGGTAATCCCTCCAACTTCAAAGCTAGCTTTCGGCGAGCACGCGCTTTGTTCGAGCTGGGAGAGCTGGATCAGGCGATGGCTGATGCCACACTTGTGGTGGACCATTATGCTCGCAACACACAGGTCTCTAATCCGGAGGCGGTTGCATTGCGGCAGAGCATCATGGATGCTTTGAAGAAGGAGCGTGCAAAGTGGGGTGACAAGGGAGGGCCACGCTGGAACCGGCTTGTGAACGACAGTGGGGCATTGATCTCTGAGGTGTCATAAGTCTCGAAAGTTGATGGTTTCACGCCCTCTCCAAGGTATATACGTTCTGATGCCAATTGATGTCGGATCCCCATGTGCTTTGCGGAGAGGGTTTCTCAGCCTTCTATGGCTGGAGTGCAATTTTTGCATGTGAATCAGGGGCTAATCAGCCTCGAAAGTTTGAGCAACACTGCAGCTCACTTGCCGGCTTCATTCAATCTTGTGCATGCAACATAGACCCAAGTCCGTGGAAGGCTTCGGCTTCGGAACAGCAACGTGCTGCAGTCTTGGTGCCGGCTTCCATGTCATGGATGTGTTTCCGCCTGCATTGGTGCACTGGGAGGACCCTGTGCCCTGTGTCGTTCAATATACATGGTGATGCCAGAGTAACGTAGTGGCCGCTGCCGCTGCCTGCACCTGCGCTTAGTAGCAGCCACGGTCATCAGCCTCAGCCTGAAGTAATTGAAAGCTTTTGCAAACAATCATCAATGACCATTCAAGCAGGTGATAAAGCCAGCAACTACACATCGACTTTTGAGATACGTCGGACGCAGCGATGGAGCATGGCAGGGTCACAACTGTTCAACCGTGTGCAGCACTAAGCAACGCTAAGTGTGAGCGCTGTATTTCCTCCTGCACCGTAGTCGTTCTTGGAATTGCGCTCGCGTCAGGTTGCGATTCCTCTTGATGATCCGCTTTGCAAGCGCAGTGCGCTCGGTGCCTGTCGCTACGACGAGGGAGGACAGGCTAAGGGGCAGCCAGGCCTTTGGAATCGCAGATGCTTGGCTCCCTGCAGCTCTGAGGTTTGGAGTCTGCGAAGCCCTTGGATCTGACTGCCAATCCGAGGGTGCAGGAACTCCGACTTCCCTCGATGCACTGCATGTTCTGTGAGATAGGGTGTCAAGACAGGAGAGCAGAAATGAGGCCGAGACTGCCCAGACGAGGCCTGCGAGGGCAAGGTTTGGGCCACAACATCAATACGCTGATTTGCCACCCAGCAGGCAAGCCAAGCTGCTGGGCAATGAGCGGAGGACAGCTCAAGTGTAAAGAGTTTCAGGCTGTTGCGGCTGACGTGCTTGGCGAGTGCGCAAGCTTGGATGAAAAGACAGCGCTTTCTCGTCTTTTTGTTGCTGTTTGTGGAAGCCGAGAGGTGACACATGTATCAAAAGAAATTTCTTCGCATCCGAACTCGGATGGGCAGGATATCCATCCTCTCGATCACAGTTTCAGGTGCGCGAGACGCCAGCTCCTGAGATTCCAGCTCTCACATGGCTCATTCTGGGCCACCTGGCTGTATCCGAGGCCTGCAACGGCAGCTACAAGTTCGATGGCCTTCACCAGGGAAAGCCACTCTTCAAGTCTGACACTGGGGCCATCATCTACTTCCAACGGCGCAGGGCCCAGAGTCTAAGCAAACTGGCTCCGGAAAGTCTCGACGCTCGTGTCTCTGGAGTGGGAGGTTCTGGAAGATGAATGCGGCCTACAGGACGAGCTCTTGGATGTGGCTTGGTCTTTCTTTGCAAATGTCACCATGCCGTTCGCACCTTTCTGCTCGAGACAAGGTACAGCCTTCCCGACAGCCGGACGGCCTTGCCGCCAGAAGGCGAGTGGACGCGCGAAGGGTCGCTTTGCCGCAGCGATAAGCGTGCAGCTCCGAGGGCGAAGCGTGCGGAGCAAAGCCGAGGTCGGTGGAGATGACCTCGGGATCCGCCAAAACCTTGGCAGGGCAGTGTGACGAAACAGTCGAGGTCTGTGTGAGTCGGAGGCACCGACGGTGACCTTTGTGGACGAGTGTTTCAAAAGCCTCGGAGAGCAAGGTGCGGCCGCAGTGCAGCTTGCTTGGCGGGAAAGTTCGGGCTTGGATATGAGCCTAAGCCGACAAAGTTGGGGAGCGCGAGGCAGCTCCTTGAGACTAGAAGGAGGTCGCACAGCTTGGGCCACAGCAACGTCGGGCAAGTGAGAGAGCCGCATGAGAGCGCCTGTGCAGATTGCGCGCGGCTGAGGTGCTTAAGCGTGAGGAGAACAAGAGCTGGCGCTGGAAGCCGGGATGAAGCATAATCAGAAGCAGAGAAGCATGGGCAAACATGATGTCAAGCCTGAGTAATTATGATTGTGTTTGCTTTGCAGTTGCGGCTGCTTGTATTCTCGAGCTACAAGGATCGAGCTTCCTGTTTTCGAGCAACGCCCCGGCACACCTCCGGCGGCTCAGAAAGAAGTCGCGGAGGCCGACGGACGTCCTAGATCACAATAATGCAGTATCTTTTCCCCGACTTGACGTTGCACAATCTTAAGGCCGTTCGAAGGTTCCCACCCCTGACAAACCTCAATGTCCCGAGAGTGGTCGAGGAGGTTCCTGGACCAGAAGTCCATGTGACAGCTCCTGAGCCAGGAGCAGGTCCCGCAAGCCGCTCTTCCCTCTTTGGAGGAGCTTTGTGCGGTGAGCCCAGCCAACCCAGTCGTCCCGTCTCGGAATGTGGACTCGCAGCAAAGGCAAAGTTGGATGCCGAAGAGATTTCGGACCGGCTGCCTGCAACTGAGACCCTCAGTTCATGACAACGTGCTGGGCGTCTGCACTGTCAAGGAACTTCGGCTTGCTTGGACACATCGACGAAGACGAGGAGCAGCCTTCCTCACTCCCATCGAGTGGGTACTTCAGCCCGGACCTTGTATGTTTTTGCGCAGATGGGAGCAGTCCAAAGTGCAAGATTTTGTGGGCTGGGCTGGCCAAGCAGCCACTCCGGCGTGCCCTTTTCATTTTTGTTCTCCCGCTTCAGGCTCAGACATGATCCGACAAATGGGCCAAGGACGGGGGTTTGCACTAAGTATAAACGGGGCTCCTTTGGAGGCTGAGTCGCACCGCACAGGCATGCTCGCGCAGATGCCGCGGGACCCGAGAGGCAACTTGGACAGCAGCTCTGGCCTGGACGCACGATGCCATCTTCAGAGTTCGAAGAGCTGCGGCTTTCTGACGGAGGTGAGCCTTGCAGCACCAGGTGCTTTGCGACGGGTTGGTACTGATGGAGTGATGGTGAAAGCTCTCTGCCAGTCCGGAAGCTGCGGACGCGCCGCCGTGGCCGCTCGAGCAGCCTCGAGTCGGCATGGCCGCACGATTGATGAAGTCCGACGTCCGTGGCTGAGCTCTTGTTTGAGGCTTTAAGCGGCTTGCATCTCCACGCACGAGCTGCACGGCGCTTTGCTACGCTTTCCCTCGTCTCCCGAGGCCGAGTCTCAACGAGGCGATGCGGGCAACCTTCTGCGCGTGCAGCGCTCAGTCCAGGCATGTCCAGGCCCTCATCGCCGAGCTTTCTCTAACCGACCACGACTCCACGAGGCGAATCGTCTGCGATTTCGGTAAGACACAGCTTTCAAGCTGCCAGATGCACCGCTCCGGCTGAAAAAGGCTGTTGAGGAATTTCATGCAGAACTGCAGAACCGGTGGGCAGCCGTCCCTCAAGCCAACCATGAAGCCATGCAGAGGTACCACATGCTACTGCTAGGCCCCTATTTGCAGACCCTCCTCAATCAGTGAAGGGTGTCATTTTGTTTTGGTTCTGACCGACCCTTTCGTTGTTGCTGAAGACCACAGAGCATGAGCTGAGATTTCACGAGCAGCGCAGCCAGGACGCATTCTTTCTCCTGAGGAGAGTTGAGGATGTCATTTTCCGCGCGGCTGGCGCGGCGAGCGTTGGCAAGCCCTCCCGGTGGCGGCAGCTTGCGCAGCTTTGCCGTCCTCTCCCATGTGTGGACAGGCACCAGTCGGTACCAGGGCCCGGGTTCGGTTTTTGCTGAATCCTTGCAAAAACTCGGGGCTTCCCTCTCCCGTCCCCGAGGTGGTCAGCGGCCCGATGCCAGTGGACCACAAAAGGTTTGTGCCAGGAGCCCGGCAGCCCGAACTCTCATCAGAATCTCTTCACGAAGTCCTTGTTGGATGCAATTGTACATGTTTGGTATAATAAAAGCAAGGATTAAACATGATCATTTTTAATATAGCCCCAACGGGGAACCAGTTCAGTGTTTGGACTTGAACAGCCCTCCGATAGATAGATAGATAGATAGATAGAAAGAAAGATTAAGATATATATATATATATATATATATGTCATAGTATATGATATATATATATATATATACATATATATATGAATACTAATGTTACTACGATTATTATTATGATTATTATCACGATTATTACTATGATTATTATTATGATGATTATTATGATTATTGTATTTATTATATATGATGATGATGATGATAATGAGGATGATGACCATATATACACAAATTTTTGTAATTACGCACACGATTACCCATCTATGCATGCATGAGTCCATCCGTGCATGCATGCACGATGCATGCATACATACGCGTACATGCGCACGAACGTGTGCCCACACTCTTTCACAGACATTCACGCGCCGCTGCCCGAAAGCAGGAGAAGTTTCGATTACACCGAATTTCGCTTGTGGGACGGTTCAACGAATGTACTGCTGCTTCAGGGGCGGCTCTTTGTTTCCATGGGGGACCTCAAGGGCTAAGCCTCATGCATTGCCTGGCACTGCTAGATTCTCTGAATGCAACAACTGAGACACTGACAGAGAAAGCTGCCCTGCCCTCAAACGCGACAACTTTGTCTTCTGACCGGCAGGGTACATGGTAATCAGCGTACAGGGGCAGGCCGATCGTCCCGGTTTGCTAGGGGTTAGGGTTCAAAAATTTGGGTTTAGGGTGACCAGGGTCTGTAGGCAGTCATGCGCCATCATGGGCCCGTCGAGCTCTTACCGAAACCATTGCCACCAATTCAACTCACGGTATCGACACATGCCGAAATGCATGCTCAAGGGCTGCACACCTGAGATAAGTAACATATGATCGCAGTACTCGCACGTCCAAGGTCATGATGCACGGCATTCTGGGATCGAAGTCGAGACATGGCGGCCTTGCAGGAAGTGCTCTCAATTATTGGTCGCTGCAGGCTTTGCCTTAAGTCCCCGGGACCAGTAATCATGCTTCTCTTCGTCATCACTGTAGCACTGAGGATTCCAACAATCATTAGGAGTGTCCTCCTTCTTTGCTGCCTCCCGAATCCTCGTTGGCTTCGTCGTTGTCGACCATCATCGCCGCAACAAGTCGTGGCCGCCGCTGTTAGTGTTGTACAGCTACCAGTTATCCGCCGCTGCTGGCTACTACTATTGCTTACTAGTGCGACGACGGCAACGACGACCATCAGCAATCATCAACAGCAGATCAACAACGAGAAGATCAGCACCAAGAATGCAAAGTTATCCCATAGAAGCAACACGAGCAAAACCCATGCACACAGAGCGCAATCCACATACCGCACAACTCGAACATGCGCCACCGCTATTCTTATCACAGTCACCACTGGTCGGCCATTAATGGCGACACCTACAATCATCGTCGTTCTCAGCGTCAGGGCAATCATGAAGACTAGGATGGTCATCAGTATCGTCATTGGCAACGTCCTCAGCCCTTTGCATGCGAGGGCGATCATCGCCATCGTCGCTGTTACCACCGCAGCCACCATCACCGTCACAGTCGTCCGAGCCACCTAGCATCAAATGTGTCATCATCCATCCCTTATCGTCAGATTGGGCTTGTGTACTCGTCATAAAGCCATGAGTCAGCTGCGACAGCCCAAGGAACTGGAATACTCCTTCCCGGCGTCTTCTGCAGCAGATTGGTGCGAAGGGCTGGCGTATCCTACAGCTTGACCATCGCGGTCATGGGCGATCACCATCAGGCTTGCACACAGAAGGTGTTGCTGCCAGAACATGTCGTCTGCCACCGCTGTGCGTTTCGAATTCGACAGACGGTCCCGCCAGTAACCTACAATACTGCTTCCGCTGCTACCTCCACCGCGGCTACTTCGCTGCTGCTCCTGCTGCTTTGTTACACTGCTCTACTCCTCCTCCTCCTACCCCTACCCGTACCCCTACCTCCTGCTCCTGCTCCTGCTCCTGCTCCAGCTCCTGCTGCTGCTGCTGCTCCTCCTCCTTGTCCGTCCTCCTCGTCCTGCTAGTACTTACTACTGCTACCACCACCAAGACTGCTGCCATTCTTGCTTAGCCTTCAGGAACCATTGAGAGTGTTTTCCCCACAGGTGGGCACCGTCTTTTGATGCTGCCCCTGCTTACAAAGTCATCTCCGGCCAGTGCAGATGCTTTGCTTCGGCTTGCGCTGAAGATGCCATCAAGTGACATTACTCGCCCCACTGCTTCCGACACCGCAAGCACTCAGCAGCTGCAACATGCTGCACCCTTCCCGCAACAACTCTGCGTCAGGATCGGCGCCTCACAACCTCGATGGCTGCAAGGACGATGTCCTTGAGACGTGGCATGGCGCAGAACTTCAGAAAAAGTTGGAAAGAAGAGAAGATCCACCAGCAGCGCTTCCATAAGAGGGGTGTTCTTGACTAAGCCATGTCTCGGCAAGGCTCGAGGCCGCTGGCGTCTCACAAGCCGAGCTCGTGCTTTGTGGCCATTCCTTCGGCGGGAAGGTGGCCCTGGTGTTCTGGCCTACTTTGGACATCTCTTGCTTTCCATCACTTCCATCATGCCCCGTAGACATAGCTGTCAGAAGTCTGTGATCTCTGAGGCAGTCCTTCGTGCTTTGTCAGCCCAAGGCAAGCCTCCCAGGTGCACTTGGATATTTGATTCAGTTCCAGGACGCTGGATGAGTGAGCGTAGGTCGCTACATTCACGGTTTCGACATAGCAGGACGTCCGGCAGAATCCTCTGCAGAAGAGGAGCGGCGGCTGCAAAGTGCCGCCGGGTCAGCACGGAGTTCAAGTCGGGGAAGCTGCTGCAATCAGCACTCTCAGGACTGGAAGACATGTGCACTAGCACCGCAAAATTAAAAGGGCGATCATACTCAAACACAAGCTGATGCGGTCAAGAAAGATCTGGTGCAACTATCGTACAGCACGTCGGACCACCTTCGCGGGTAGCAATTAATCTCTCGGCAGCCAGGTGTTCGGTGAGTATCATTTTGTTTGTGTTCATACGAGGTGAACTTCGTGCTTGGAGCTGTAGCCTCTGCAGCGTCGAGGCGTTTCAACAGCCGCAGCGATGCTTGGCTGTGCATTTGCAGCTGGCGAGGGTACTGAGTGGCAGTCTGATGCTTGTCTCGCCGGGGCTCTGCAAAGCCGAGGGCCTTGAATTGAAGCACCGTGTGTGGTGAGTCTGGGTCTGGTGTGCTTACAACATGATGTCAGGCCCGAGCTCTGCGCGAAGAGGTTGCCAAGACAGCCGTTCGGGAGCGTGTTGAGTGCAATGAGAGAGACAAAGACTGCGCCGCAGCTTCGGCGGGGTCTCACGTAGCTGCAAGCCCAAAAGGGGTCAGACCAGACAGGAGGCCACTGGGAGGGGCGAGAACTCCTCCCGTGAACCTGCAGAAAGAAAGATGGAGGGACAGATCCAGGGGGCCGGGACATCCACTGGTCTCAGAGAAGAGAGCAGATTTCCTCTGCCATGGGCGGCGGCTCAGGATCTCGTTGAGGTCTTGCAAGCAGAGCACGGCCTTGCGCCGCCTGCGGCGGCGTGGATCGCCACCCGGCGTTGAGATTGCTGGAAGAAGTGTTTCCGCAATGTGGGACAGTCCAATCCGCAGGCTCAATCCGTTCGCCAAGTGCCGACGCTGCCTCAGTTTGGTGAGTGCGCAAAGATGGGGATCACAGCTTGATCAGGGATGGAGTGGAGCTGAGCTACGACATGGAAGTAGTGCGTGGCGACCCAAGCTTCCTTGACGACCGCAGTGTCGATCGCACTTGCATTGGTTGCCGAGGAAAGATTTATGAAGCCTACCGTAGTACGGATATGTGGGATCTGCTCCAGGAGGGCAATGCAGAGCTTCGGATGCAATGATGACGATGTGTGGCCAGCACAGCGTCTATAAACTTGCACAGATCGTCAATGAGGAAGTTGGGATCGTGGTGGCGGGCCGTAACAGGCAAGGGCAGCCAAAGCTGGTTCGTAGTAGGTGACATGCTCCGGTTCGTAGTAGCCAGCTTTGAACCTCTCGCTTCTTCCCTCGAAGGCAGAGTTGGGGGCCGGAAAACCTTCAGCGGCTGGAGAACTGCCACCAGGTCGGGCAGTGGTCGTTCTGGCGTCGAAAGCTGTCCAGCCGCCATGCTCTTTCTCAGGGCGTGCAGGTGGTCACACTGGAAAATGCAGGGCACAACGCGCGCCGAGCTAGACATCTTTGGAATCCTAGGTTGAAAAGGTACATTTTACATGTCTCCCATGCTTCGTGTGGATCGCTGCAGGTTCACGTGGATGATTTACCGGGTCTGTTGACTGCGATAACTCCAAGCTTCGCATAAGCGAAGCTGCTTCGAGCTCTGTTAAAAGTGCATCGCGTCAACATGTCTCAACGCGCAACGTGGGGTCCGATGCAGCGTTTTTGGTTTCTAGCTGTGTCACAAGAACTTGCTTCAGACGAGCCGGCTGTGCGTTAGCGGCTGAAGATGAAGTCCAAGAAGCGTCGCTTCACGTTGCGAGTTGGCTCCCAGTCTGGTGCTAGCCTTGACCGTGGGCCGCTTCAGCCACATGTCCGTTCTGGTGAAGGAGACTTCATTTGCAGACGACCACCCCGGATTGCTTGGGGTATCTCCAGTTACGGCACGTGTCCTCTGGAAGACGGAAGACGTCTCAACAGTCTCAGCAGTCACTCACAGTCTCAGCACTCTGCCAGGACTTGGTCGGAAATGAGTACAAGCTTGAGCTGACTGGTATCTCGTCGGCACCAGCGGGTGGAAATGCTATGCAGCTTTGTCAAGTTTCCGAAGCGGGGCCATGGCCCAAAGTGCTTTGACCCGCGTTGAACTTTAAACTCAATCATGGGGCCACTTATGAAGTTTCTGGCCGCCAAGGCGGCCCCCACAAAGATGGAGCTCCAAGCACACCGAGTTTTGTTGTGAAGCATCGCACAGTCAGTTCCTGGAAGATCCCAGAGTCCCAGAGGCCCGAAGTGCTCAGACTCGGCGGAATGTGTACGTGCTCCCGAGGTCTGCAAACCGTTCTGGACCTGAAGAAGCTTTTGGAGCAAGTTGTGGTCGACCTCCCCATCCCACAGCAGCGACTAACACTCCTCCGCACTGAGAAGAGGCAAAAAGGGCCGGGACTCAGCTTTGCTCCAAGAGACCCTCTGGGAAGCAGGCTGGAGCCTGAGTCGCAGCAGCTGGCAGCGTTGGGTCTCAAGGATGGCGATGAGCTGGCCGCCCGGCCAACAAATTTATCTTGAATATGCGGTGGCCGTCCGAGAGTTTGATGCCAGGAGTTGCAGGTGCTTTCATGGACGGAAGCACAGGGACTTTGACAAGCTGTGCCGCGCAGGCACGGACCTGGAATGTGGGCTGTGCTATGTCGCACACCCCCTTTCGAAGCGACAAGACTGATGCTCTCGTTATGTCTCGTCTGGTCTGCCCAGGCAGTTTCGCAGCGCCCTCTGCCTCAGCGTGGCTTCCTGGCGTCGCCATTTGCCAAGGAGCATATGTGACTGGACCCGGAGATGGCGGCTTCGATGCCGAACGAATGGGACTGAGACTCTTCGTCGATTCAGAAACCCCGCTGTGGCCAAAGCATGGGACAAAACGGGCGCTCTGGCACGACAGACTCTTTTCATCACATCAGCTCAAAATCTACAGTGGATACATGCAGATGTGCCCTTCATGCAGCTTGTGCAAGCATCTAATTGAGACACCCCGCTGTTCTGACAGATTCAAGAGCCAAGTGGACACAAGTGGACAAAGATCACTGTTTCAGACATTTCGTTCGAGCTATTCATTCCTGAGCACAAGACATCCTCCAGAACAGGGTTCTTCCAGACTTGCCTTGCGACCAGACTCGGTGCCGAACAGGCAACTGATCGTGATTTGAGACGTGTGAGCGGCTGCGGCTCATGGCAAAGCGCCCGGCCACCGCTGCGCATGAAAGCAAACGGCAGCGGACGAGGCGTTTCACATCTCTGGACTTGGGGGGTCAACTGAGGCGATGCAGAATCATGTTGGTGCTCACCCGGATCAGTTTGCCGATCCATCGTGCTTTTGACTGTGTGCCGAGGGCAGTATTCACGGGCATTAAAGGTTCCGACAACTTCGAAGACTTGAGCTAGTCTCTTGTATTCAGACCAGCAGCTGTCACCAGGTCTAGGTCTGGATCTTCTTTGTCAGTCTCTGTGTGTTTTTGGATCGAGGCTGCGCGAGGTCCATGTCCGGGTTTAGGCAAATGCAAAAAGCTTGGTAAGCTTGAACGGCCAACGTTGCCAGTCTCAGCTCAAGCCCGGCCCTGGCCCCCGCCTGCAGCGAGCCGCGAGCCCATGGCCGGCAGTTCGCTTCCTCCCAGCTCCCCAAAATGAGACCCGCACCTATCGCTGATCGCAGACGCTGACGCGAGACTATCAGATTGTGTCGAGTAGGACGTGGACGAGGCCTGTCCAGAGCTTGAAGGTGTGGGTTTGGATCGTGACAGAGAACAATTCCCTGAGATTGCTTTGAACATGCACTTTGCAGAAGTCCATGCTCGCACGAGTGTTCGTTTGGCCCGGCAACATGCATGTTTCGAATTCCGAAGCAGCCTGCAACTGAAAGTCTTGATTTCTGAGATTTCTCAGTCTCAAACTCACGGCTCAAGTTTCGCTTTTTGAATCTCGATTGCATCGTCGAGGTGGCTTGTAGATTGTAGAAGCCGGTCGACCCGGTAGATATGGAGAGCCATGACGATAATTCCAGTGAGCACAGCATGTCCACGGCAGTGGCGACATTACGGCACTTGGAGTATGTGGTCATGACTTTGGCTCACATGAATGAGCAGATGTCAGACTTTCGTGGTGTGAGGGCGTCTCTGGCAAGGATTGAAAAGAGCCTCCAAACCAAATCACCCGACTGCGGCGGTCCTCTTCGACGACCTTCGGAGGGCTCCGTAAGGTCATCGATGTCTGCAGCCAGAGTGAAGGGAGAAGCGATGCAAACCCCGAAGTTGGACTCGGATGTTCCACCTTGTATATACGGACTTGAAGCTGCTAGGGCGGAGGAGCTGTGCAGCAGACGAAGAGGCGCAAGGAGGTCCACTGGAAGCCCCAACAGGAGCCCAAGAAGGCCTGCAGGTGAGCCAGTAGATCTGCTCGGCATCCACCAGCCCAGTTCGCATGACTCTCGGCTTCCGCAATCGAAGACGAGCCCGCGGAAGCTGTCCAGATCTGCTTCCCCATCAGCCCTTACACCGGAGCGTGCCACGACTGAACTTATCCGCGAACCTCCTGCTCCTGCCAGCATCAGCATGAAACCGTGGGCTCCTGCATCGCCACCGTCGCCACCTGGTATGTGTCGGAGGAAGTCTCTCGACGATCTTCGCCAGTTTCACGACGCGGTCATTATGGCCCCCACGCATGTATCCCCTATCTCACGCCGGATCTCCATAGAGACTGCAACAGCACTACCGCTCCTGGGATGGTTCCTGCTGTCGACCGTCGGCATACTCGATTTCTTCGACGGCAGGAAATGGCGACACCTTGCACGGTGCAGCCTCGGGGTGCAAATTGTGGGCATTATCGGTCTGGTAGTGGCCATGAGTACATGGACTGGCGATTTCGAGGACCTCGAGCCTCTGATCACAACGGGCCTTTACTTCCTTGGTGTCGCTGCGGGGGTGCTGAGCCTGCGGAGGAATAAGATCACGTGCCTCCTGGGTCCATCCGAGTACGTGATGGATGACTATGCACTCGAGTCGGACTTCTTGGATGACTGGAGAAAGCTTTCCAAGGCACGGCTTTATCAGATCATCGGCTTCTTCATCCTTATGATCAGCTCGAGGGTGGGCGCTCTGTTTCTGACAGAGAGGGAAATCTTTGGGAAGTACAAAGATATCTTTGGCTTCGATGTTCTCACGGTGGTGGCCTTTACTTCAATGGCAGTTTGCTACTGCACAGCTTGCTATTGTGTGCTACATGTAACTGCAGGTTTGGAGCTTGCAGTGGACAGCTTTGCATTGCGCTTCTTCAGCACGGGTGACATGGAGGCTGCAGTGATGAGTTGGAACACTGTACAGGCCACATTGCGACAGACGTCGTGCAAACTCAGCGACTTTCTGGTACTCCTAGCTTCCTCCTGCATGGGGGCATTGATTATCTTTGCATACCAGGTGGTGTCCCTGACGCTTTCTGGTGAAAGCGTCTCTGCAGAGAACATCATCAAGTGGCTAGGGTGGTTGTACTCTCCGCTCATTCTGTTTCTCTACGTCTTGTGGACTTCAGCAGCTGTCACAGAGAAGGTCGATCGCTTGGCGCCTCTTGTGAACTCCTGGTCGTTCAATGGTCGTGAGATCCTCGACGTGCCTCGACAGTATGTGGTCTCATATATTCTGCATAGCCATGCCGGTTTCTATGCTCGAGGAATCCGTGTTACATCTGCGAACGTGCAAAAGCTCGTCTACTACTTCGCAGCGGGGTCGTTCGGCCTCCTCACCAACCTATGGCAGAGATAGGATCAGTCGCCCTGTTTGAGCTGGGGGCTAGTGTCCGCGTGTTCAGATACATGTCCACCTACTGCAGGACATGAGGTTCAATCCGTGCTTCAAGCATGTACAACAAACCATATGTCCAGCCTGGCTAGGCCAATCAGCCGAAAAATTTTGGGTTCATGCAGCCAGCGCCCATCCAGTGCATCCGCCGACTCGTTCGAGTCGGCAGAGCCTGGCGCTTGCGGCCAACTGGGCACATGTTCCTTGAGAAATCTTATTGTTCAATTTTTACCGGCAGCTGTTGGGCAGGCTGCTCGGCTTGTCTCACTTGAAATGACTTTCGAGGCTCCGAGACTGCTAAGCAGGCGGGGTGGCCACGAAGCCATGAGAGACAGGAGCCTTGACAAAAGCACAACTTCCAATGTGTTTATTTTGAGCAACCCCAGATGTGTGGTACTCCTGAAGCATGGTTGGTCGGGCCTAGGATGTTCAAACGAAAGTTTAAATGATTCTTGCTTCCGCGACGGGCCGGTGACCCAGAAATGATCACGTTGCTTGCCAGTCGAAGTGGACGATGCGAAAGGAAATTCTGACGTGGTCCCTGCTTCCGAGTGCCTAAGAGCTCCGAGCGCGAAAGTCACAAGACGGAGTGCAAGCTCAAAAAAACAGAAGGAGGTTTTGTTTCCCAGCTGCCGAACTACAATCTAGAGTTTATAGGCCCTTGGAAGCGTATGGTCCTGTGCAGGGGCATGCAGGGTGCAGAACCCGGTGCCTCGGTGCTTGCCGCTTGTCGGCTTTTTGCAGGGCCGTTTAGATTGTCCTTCAAATTAACCCGGCGATGCGGGGCACAGACCTGGCCATGTGGGCAGCAAAAAAGCACCATTTTCGACAAGAATGTCGAGGCTGCAAGGAAGAAAAGCTGTGGGGCCTTCGCGGGGCGGGGCGACAGGCTCGTCTTCAGCGAAAAGTTTGGCATGGCAGCAGCAGCACGGATCCCCAGCTGTCGGGCCGCGATTCACAGCCTGGTGAACGGAGGACTCGACACCTGTCTCGATGTGGGTTCACAGTTCAGCCAGGTTGTTCAAGCGCATGGTTTTTCACCAGGTCTCGTACTGACTAGCTTGTTTTTGATCTGTGCGAGGGCATTCGGCCAATCCCCTGCTGAGCAGTACTTGTACCATGAAGAGTGTAACAGGTCTGGTGCCTCTCAGGATCTTAGGGCTCGACTTGTCCGTGTATGACGGGTGTGGGGGGTGTAAGCTCTGTCGTCTTGCCGTGGCTTATGTCAGATGTTTCTCTGCTGCGGGCAATTGCCACTGGATGCGCAGACGGGCATGTACTTCGAAAGCTTGAGTGTAGTCGAGATGTCATGTGCAGATGTGTTCATTCTTGTTCTGGATTCCACAAGCATCCTGATTCCACGCGATCTCATGCACAACATAAGCTGTCGAATACTGATTAAACTGCTGACTCCCACCTCCCTTCGCCCAAAACAGTGCCCCGGATGATGTCTGAACTTCAAACTCCGCAGGAGGTCTTGCAGTCCTCAGTGCCGCCGATTCGGATCTACACCCACAAATGCACACCTTCACTTCTCTCTGAAGAAACATCTCTGCGGAGGAGATGGGGTACATGCTTCGCGATACAATTCTGGATCTTTTCTACTTCGTTTCTGCAGGATGCCCTGAAGCGTTTCGTAGGCGGCCGTGGCTGTGTGCAGGACTTTCAGTGATTATTCCGTCCGACCAGTCTCCCCGCATCTTGCATTCTGATCCAAAGCATGGCTTCCATTGAAGTCGTAGGCACGTTAGTCCCCTCTCGAAGCGGGTCAAGGCATGCAGGAATGCGACTTCGCTGTCGCCGAGGATTGTCAGAAGTTGGATCCGGTCGTGCGGAATATTGTGGCAAAGAAGCTGCGCCATTGGTAGCCTGGTAGCCAGCCAAACCGTTGTCATGTCAATCTCCAAGCCGTCACATGCGGGTCCTCTGCAAAAACCCATTCGAAGGCTTCTTCTTGCAAGGGCCTGATTCCACGGCTCGTCGCTCCGGCTCTGTGCAGCGCCGTTTGTAGTTCCTAATCCCTTGACGAGTTGCTGGCGCAGGCCAAAGGGGCTCTGGCTTTGCCGAACTCGCTCAGCACCTGATTGGGCTTGGAGACGTCCGGGCCAATATTGATTTCCAATTTAGCCCACGCAGGCCATCTTGAAGCGTCTGCGGCGCGAAAAGAGGCATTGCGAAATCTTTCGGTCCGGACAGTTTTTTGGTCCGGACAGTTGGGGATGGCCCAGGGCTTCACCGTGTTTGTTGCAAATTTCAAGCCGGGGGGAAGGACTTCGGACTTAGTATGTACAGTTTAACCGAACATCGGTCTGCACAATCACGTCGCGAGTTGCATACGTGCGTAGAGAAGCCCTTCCCCATCCCTCTTCCGTTTCTTCGACATCTGCAGCAAAATCTGTGACCGACCACTGGAAGGCACAAGGAAACTTCGAAGATTGGGCAAGACAAGCGCTCCCCGGCTGCAGTGGGCATCGAATTGCCAATCTGCTCAGCATACAGTTTCTGCCACTTCGCACTATCGAAGCCGTCAAGATGCGAGCGACTGCGTTCACAGCCGAACTATTCCGTGCTGTGCTGAGTCCTGCTCAGCTTCGACTGTCGTGGTGCTGCTGTGGACCCATCGCTTGAGCCGGAGGAGCTCGTGGCCAGGTGGGAGGATGGGGATCACTGGAGTTACTCCACTGAAAAGGGCCTTGCCTGGCAGACTTCTCGCACCTTTGTCCCGGGAAGAGTTCCTGAAGCAGTGCTGGGCGGAGAAGGCCGTGGCTGCCGGTTGCTTATGGGGCTCGAGACATGAGACACAAACTGGTCGATTTCGGGTGTGAGCAGACGTAATTCTGCTCTGAGGTGCATGGCCACCCGCGACGTTTGGCGCCAATCATTTCTCGGTTGTCAGACCTCGATCTGGAGGCGAGCTGCAAACTCTCCGAAGCCTTGAGCATGGGCTTTCCTATACCCAAGCTGGCTTGCAGGCCATGCTGCAGGAAAGCCCGAGTGACGTGGCTGCTCGGCTCGCTTCCCCAACGGCGGAAAGGGTCAGCAGACAAAGACAGAAGAGCAATAAGTCTGAGTCCTGGTACCGGGCAAATGGTGCGGCAAGGCTGGCGAGGGTTTGCATGGAGACACGGGTGACGCTTCGCAGCATCTCGCTGCCACAAGATCGAAGTGGCTCAGGTTCATGCCTGGCTCCGGGATGGCAACTTGCTTGCACGCTGAAGGAGAGTGCATCCCCAACATGGTGCAATCTTGAGGTCAGGATGCAGCAGGCGGAGCGGCAAGCTCTGTGCTGGGCTCAGTTGTTCAAGTCGGATACTGCCTCCCCAGAAAGGTTCTCGTGGCTGCAAAGTTGCTGTCTGTCCACTTCCAATACTTGCTTGCTTGAAGCCGCCGTTTCCTATCCTTTCTCTCGTCTCTCTCTACCCTAAGCAGTTTCCTCTCCGTGCTTTCTCTAGCCTAAACACTGACATGCTGCCTTTGGTGCTGAATTTACTTCTGCGTGGCTATGCTGCATGCAGCATGCTCTTTTCTTTCTACAAGATGGGAGCAGAAGTGGAAGTCGGCTTGTTTCCACGATGCTAGGCTGCTTCTTTCCTGAATGATGATTAGTTTCTTTGTGTGTTTGACCATAGAGATAGAGTGCCTGAGACAGTTTTGCACCGACTCACATCGTCCTCTGAAGCTCTATGCTGGTTCATTGCCAGGGCTCAAGGAAGTCTGCGGCCGACCTATCATCCTCGCCTGAATTGTCCGAGTTGCGAGAATTGCGAGAGTCTAGAGTACTGCAACTCGTTGCAGAGGCGCTGAAAAGCGTGGCTGTGGACTCGGCAGCGGCAATGGGACTCCGCGCCGCCAAGGCGGCGCTCTACTTTCGAGCCAACGAGGAACTGGAGAGACTCGGACTGCTCCAAGTTTGCCTTTCTGCTACAGGTAACGCTAGAATCAGTTCTGCATTGTGCTATATCGGCTATATCGTGCTGGTAAGTTGGTAAGGCTGGTAAGGTTTCCTCCTAGGCCTGCGGGCTCTTTCCTCTAATCAGGTAACTTTATAAGTCTACCGTATGTAACCTGGCGAATCACTTACTGGGATGGGTGCCCATAGCGGTACTGGAGTTTCTCAGGACCTTGCTGGTCTCGCAGATCTGCGCTGGCCTTGGCGCAGGTGCAGCCGGAATGTACCCAGGCACCCGAGCGCCCGAGCCACCTCCACTCTGCTGTCCTCGGCTGTTCTCGCCCTGCCCATTCTCCTTTGTAGGTGATGGCCGGCCGCGAGGGGAGATCGAGACCTTCGTGGCCTCAGAGGGCCACGTAACTGGCGCCTCAGCAAAGCTCTTGTGGCACTCCACAGCCCTCATCCGGCTATTCTGTGATGGGACAGGCTGGCATACGGACTTTCAGCACAACTTCACCTTCCAGCTGAGGTTCACCTGCAAGAGATGCGATCCCATTTACCCAAGCCAGTTGAGCCCAAGAACGGGACTGCTGTGTGGCAGGGGCGCGAAGCGATGGCGATTCAAAGCAGGGCCTGTCAAGAACAACGTGCGCGCACTGACGCCGCACTTCCAGTTGGGGGCTGAGGATCGCTGCACAGAAGTTGCTTTCACAGAGAGCGTGCAAGCACTCGGAGTCGCTAGACTGCAACTGCTGTGGGAGAGTGCAGATGCAAGGACGCGGTCCAACTTTGAGCAGCAGATGAAGCTGCATTTGCTGAGCGAACTTCTTTTGCGCTGGAAGCTTCTTCTTTCCTTGGTACCCACCGAAAGCGCTCGACTTTTGACACCCCCAAGCCGACGCCCCAGGACCCTACCGAACCGGATTTCCGGCCGCCCGACGACTTCTTTGCTGACGCAGAGGAGGTAGAGCTGCACGCCGGATCCGTGCTTTACCATCCTGCTGGGATTTGGCATCATGTGGAGTGCTTGGGCGAGGCTTGTCAAACGTAGAATCGTTTCCTTCGCGGGCACACGTCATTCGTGCATGCTAAGGAAGAGAGTATCTCAATCAACGTGTCGCTCTCCATTGCCACCTGGGCTGACTTGGAGCCTTGCCAAAACAGGCTGTGGATAGAGAGACCTCACGGTCCTGGTTCCACAGAAGAAAGAACTCAGGTCGGCGATGCCGTGCGTCAGCTCCTCTGGGCTTCGCCTAGTTTGCGACAGCCTCTGGTCGGTTTGGACTGTGCGGATCCATCGCGTGTCCGACAAACAGAGCCTCGGACGGTCAAAGAGCAGTGGAACCCTGAACTTTCCTAAAGCCCTAACGTGAACATTTGAGCATCTGGAATGCGGACTGAAGGTGGGCCAGAAGCTGAAGGAAGCAAAGCGGGTCTTCAACAAATTGACAGCTGAAGACCTACTTTCCGCAGCTATGCTCGAAGCGCCAAGGCCCGAAGGTTAACTTGCAGCTGTTTGAACATGTACTAGCGCTTACTCGTCGGGTTGAGACTTTGAACAGGATCAGAGCCTGGGTTCCAAAAAAGGGCTTTAAGGTTGTTTTACCCATACGGGCGCGTGGCCTTGGTCGAACGTTTTTCGGGAGGCTGCCCTCGCGCATTCACCTGAGCAAGTCTCTGCTCGGAAAGGATCTGCACGTTGAGCAGCTTGGTGCTTTTCAAACTTGCTCTGTGTTGGAGTGATAATATGACCGATAGACTTGTGACAATAAGAACAGTGATGGCAATCATTGTCGTTGTCATGAGAATGACGGTGACAGCGGCCTCTACGTAAAATTCGCTTTTCTTCTGCCCTCACCAGGCAGGCGCAGAGCTTCCGCTTCGGTCAGCTTGCCAGCCTGGTGGAGCTGGGAGACTCCGACTCGGAAGAGGCGAGGCGCCAAAGTCACCAAGGGACCTTTGACCCCCAAAACTCCTTCGGAGGAGGCGGAGGAGGAGCTCCCCAAGAACGCGAGGAGGTATGCCTTGCATATCAACTTTGGCAACGAGGAAGCCGCCACGGGGTCTTGCGCATCCCCGGTAACCCGAGAGGAGAGCAGGAGCCCAGAGGGAGCAGACCGGCAGGACGTGGGCTCGTGGATTCGTGTGGTGCTCGTGGCCCCAAGCCCGGCCCTCCGCGCTGCGATGGCATGGCTTGGCAAGCAACAACTTGCCGCACGCTTGGTCCTTACAGCGTTTGGGGACTCCAGGCTCCGGCCGGAGCAACTGAGAAGTGTGATGTTACGATTCGAGCAGTGATGTTGGTTTCTAAGGTGCTGGAGCCCGCAACATCTCTTTCAAAGCCAAGGAGAGAGTGGGCGAAGTCGCGAGTGGATCGTTTCGAATGTGCTTTGCAGTCCGACGGGCAGGAGCTGGTCCAGGCATCGGACCTGAGCTGGACGCAGACGACAAGGTGAAATCACGGCTGTCGGGAAACCTCCGTAGCAGCCTTCGGGACTCAGTCGGATGCATGAGTTGCAGGCTGATTCGGGTCTCGACCTCAGTCTCCGGCAGCAGCATTCGTCGTCATAAAGTTTGTAGCTATGAGAGACTGGCACGACACGAAACGAATTTACCCTTGAGCGCGCTTTTGGACAGATGCTGTCGTGATTGCACTCGATGTGGCGAGCACCATGTCATAGGTGCTACGATACTGTGGCTACATCCACCTCGAGCCGTGACTCTGCCAACAGCGAGAGCCGTAAAGCCTACGGCGCCGGCCATGGACCTCGAGAAGCAGAGGACTCCGCTCGGCCGCTCGGAGCAGAGCGGAGAGCCAGCAGAAGCCGGAGGCCGGAGGCCGGAGATCGTCAAAGGCGCAGCAGCGGCGCAGGGCAAAGGCCGATGAGCCGGAGAGCCGGGCACCAAACGCCCGCTTGCTCCAAGCTGTGCTCTGCAGATGCGGGCGAGAAAAGGTTAGCATTAGCATTGCCGAGTTGCCGTTTGTGGGCTGGGGGGGGGGGAGGTGCCGCGGAGCCGTAGAAGCTGCACGATCTGCACGTCTAATGGCAAGAGCTTCCCGCGGCCGTGCTCGAGCTTCTATGGGGGCCACGCTCCGCAGAGCCTCGGGCTCGGGGCCATGGGGCCTGGAACTCGGACCCCGGAAACCCTACACCTGTGCTGACGTCGCTTGTGGTCTTCTTATCCAATCACAAGGTCTGGAGGCTCCACGGATTCAAAGAAAAAAGGCCGGCTGACTGCAGCATGCAGCCCGAGACTGTTGACATGTGGAGCAACGGTTCGCCCCGAGGTGAAGAGAAGTACAAGCCGGAGGAACCTGCGGCAGATCCCACGGCCAGCGGGGATGTTGCGCAGGTTGCAAAACCTCGACACCCACGCTTGAAGAAGGCAGGAAACGCTCGCTGGGCCATACTCTTGAAGCTGAAGCGCTGTGAAGACTGGTCGGATACCCGTGCATTCACCGCAGTCCCCTAAATGCAGCACAGGCTGCAACTCGAGCGCGGCTCGAGGACTGACCACATGGCGGGATGCTGTTTTCAGTGCCTCGGGTGTATTGGTCCAAAGAAACTTCGTGCATGATCAGCAGCCGATCAGCACTCAGCTTGAAGTGCAGGAGCGCAGCACTTCACCTCGTCACTGGCCTGCAGTCAACGGGTGACAACGTACGAGGGGCAGGAGGAGGAGGAGCAGCCGCAAGCGGCATTGTAACTACCAATAAGTAAGAACTAGTTTGTGACTCGTCAAAAGCGCCGCAACTCCCCAGCATGGTCAAGACTAACTTTTTAGGTGTGCGGGCATTGCATGTCGTGTTCCGCAAGGTCCCCCAGATGCTGCAGACCACAAGGAGCCCACGGTTCCGGCCACTGAGGTCCAGAAATTTCATGGAGCTTCGCGCAGTCTGGTGGCGCATGCGCAGACTCAAGGTGTGCACCCTGTGGCCAGGTGCGTCCTTGCGACAGCTGTGGTGAGATGAGAAAAACAACCAACTTTTCCCGTGGAGACGAGGTGCCAAGCTTAGTGGCATTTTGGAGAATTGCACAGGCTCACTGAGGTATTTAATACTGTCGTGTTGCAGTAGGTGCTTCGTAGAGAATCGGGTTGGGTAGCGTGCAGCACTCGCCCCACTAAGTCCCAATGGCTTTGTGCCGCTTGCCAGCTCACCAACGGAGGCTTGGTTCGGGGATTCTAGGAATTTTGGGAGTCTTTGGACGGAGAGACCCAGCGAGAGACAGCTTGTGTTACCTTGGCCATGGAGTGGATACTCTGCTTCACGCCCTAAGCCTGGCAGTTCCTTGCAGCGTGAGTTGGAGAGACCTCGGATGGCGCGGCTAGAGCTCTCGGGGTTTGCACGGTGACGGTTCAGGAGGGGTGTTTTGTGTGGTCGGGGGTAGCAGCGCTTAGCCGGGGGATAGGGCACTTCTCTCATCTCCGGAAGGGGCCACGTTGACTGGACTCGCCGTGAACCTTTTGGGGGGTAGGCCCTCGCAGCCGGGCTCTTGCGAGAGCCGATGCCCCATGCAGGCAAACAAGCAAGACAACCAGCCTCCCTGAAATGCGCGAAAGAATGGTTGTGCCTGCGCGCGCGAGGTCCACGGTCCGCCGAAGAGCAATCACAGGAGAAAAATCTCAAGCACATCTTTTCCTTCTCCCCGTAAACCGAGCAACGACGAATAGGTTTTTCCTGTGCAGCCTGGTGTAGGAAGTCAGACCCTGCAAACACCAAACACGGACAGACGGACTTGTCGAGCCCGAGGATACTAGTTGGTTCAGCGGAGCCGAATGGCCTCGCATTCCGCATGTTGCGCCCATGGACATAGCCTCTGTCTCGCCAGGTCTGGCCTTCGGCGCAAGACAAAAGCAGAAAAGGCTCAATGCGACCTCAGCGCAGTGCGCTCAGCGAGCAAGAATCTGCATGAGATGTTGCCTTTCACCTTGCTCGTGCGAAGCACTAAGGTTGAAGCCTCAACCTGTGTTTAGACGGCAGAATAGTGACAAGCAGCTCAGGAGCAGGGCTTGCAAGCTGCATGCAGGGTTGTAGTCCGAGATGGAAGTGATGGAACCGTGAGGCACGTACGTAGAGCAGCAAGGTCCAGCTTTAGCATGGCTTGGCAGGAGCAAGCTGAGTGTTTTCTCGGATGATGACAGCGAACACAGATCAAACATTGGAAGGGAGAGAAGGCCCTTTTGCGATCCCTACCCCTCGTTCGGACTCGGGCATCTGTCAAAGAATGCGTGTCGCAGGCGTGGCAGATGTAAGACCAACAATAACGATGCCGGCCGTGAGCTAAGATTGAGTGGGTCATGATGTTGGCTGTTTTGGATGCGCGAGTTTGTGGCAGCGCCCGGAAAGGTCTAGCGGCGAGCAACAGCATGGAACCCAGCCATTCCGTCCAACTGCAGTCCTTCTCGTCGTTTTCCAGGCTGCCCTTGAATGCCGAGGCCTGGCACCCCCCGATGCTGACAGCGGCACGCATCAGTCCCAGCAAGACCTGCTGCAAGAGCCCACGGAGCATGATTCCTACGAAGTCAGGGTATTCTGTTGGTTTCAATGCACGCGACAGCCCCCCCCCCCCCGCCCCCACCAATGTTGCAGCACCGGTGAGTCTGCAACAGGAACTCCTGCATTCGGCCAGCGTATACGTGCAGGATGCTTGGAAACGACACCTGCGAGGCCGCAGAGAAGAGCAAAGCTCATGCGGGCGAATACTGCGAACCTCAGCGGTATTGGCAAGGGGCGACGAGCTCAGAGCAGCGACTTGGGCGACAGCTCCTATAGTCCTATAGAGTGCTAGCCTGAGCCCTGGGCCATGCAGGAGCACCGTCAGCAGCGAAGGGAGCCAGGCCACAGCCCAAGGGCACTTGATACCGCATGGTCTTGTCTGGATGATGAGGGGTTCCATCCTGTCACCGGACGTTTCCGGCAGCTGCTTTGCTCAGCGTTTTGCAGCACAAGCTCTCTCTAGAGAAGCAATGTCGGAGGGAAAGGCGAGGCGCAAGATCACCGTGGCCCCTTGCCCTGCAATTCAGACACAGGCTTGATGCGAGGATGCAAACCATCACGTGAATGCTTCTAGAGGCCGAGCTTGAAAAGCACAGCTCCGAAGACAATGCATGGATGGCTGTTCACGGCTTGGTGCTGAACCTCTCCAAGGCCTCTTCAGACCTTTCATCGTGGTTTTGTCGAGTAACAGAGACGGTCGACAAACAGGGAACTCACGCGCCAGGATTTCTTGGACGAGCACCCAGGAGGCCCGGACGTAGTGACAGCGCTGGCTGGCAAGGACAGAACTGCACACGATCCATGCCGACGATGACAGTCAGTAGCCAGACTGAGCCAGATAGATGGACATATGGCATTGACGACAGTGATCCGTGTGGCTATTGTCCAAACACCGACATCGATGAAGATGCTAGCTAGGACTGTTCGGCGTGTTATAGCAACAGGCAGGGTAACGCACCATCCACCATCCACCACCACCGCAACAACCACCGTATATCCCAATGCACAAACAGCGCCTTTTGGTCTGCCCACAGAAACGCAATAGACCGAGCGCAATGCCAAGACGCGACGCCATTCGGAAGCTTCTCAATCAAAGGCAAAGGTTAGCGAGCAGCACAGCAAATGCAGCAGCAACAGAAGTGGAAACAATGCTAAACTAGCGAAGAACAGCAATAAGGTGTATGCCGGCGGCAGCACCGACAAGAACTTCGCAAATGAAAGCAAGCCTAGGCTGGCCGGTGTTTAAGCATATGCTTTATATGCTTTCTCATTGTGGTCCCTTGTAGCAGCAGCGTGCAAGCAAAAGTTGGGTGAATTCGCCCACGGGGGACGACGGCGTGGGTCATTATCGTCTTCATTGTCCTTGTAGCAGCAGCGTGCAAGCAAAAGTTGGGTGAATTCGCCCACGGGGGACGACGGCTTGGGTCATTATCGTCTTCATTGTCTTT